CCCGGGGGCCCCCCCGGGGGGGCCCCCGGGGGGCCCCCGCGCGGCCCCGCCGCGAAGGCTGCAGCCGCAGAGACCCCAGACGCAGCAGCAAGTCCCCAGCAGCAACTCCCGCGCTGCTGCAGGGACTGCCTGGCTGCACCAGGTCCACCACCGCGAAAGGGGGCCCCTCTTCTGCAGCGCAGCAGCAGCAGCAGCAGCAGCAGCAACGCATGCATGTGTGTGGCGAGCTACGTGCGCGCTGTCGCTGGCTCAGCAGCTGCTACGCTCTGGCTAGCTAGCCAGCTGCGTGCTGCAGCGCAGCTAGCTGCTCAGCTAGCTGCGCTGCAACACGCAGCAGATTAGCTAGCTCGCTGCTGCTTCCGTGTGAGCCCCTGAGGCACGCGCAGCAAAAGCTGAGCAGCAGCAGCAGCAGCAGCAGCTGTGCTGCAGAGCCGTCTCACCTTGCAGCAGCTGCGGAGATGCCTCTTGCTGCTGCGGGGGGCCCTCTCGCTGCTGCGGGGGGGCCTCGGAGGAGGGAATGCTGCTGCGCTGCAGCGCAGCAGCAGGGGGCTTGTCTTTGGCGTTTGCTGCATGCAGCAGCAAAAGGGTTTCTTCGAGCCGCTGCTGCACCTCCCGGTGGTCTGTCTTCAGACACGCCAGCTGCTGCCGCGCCTGCAGCACTGCATGCACGTCGATGTCGGCCCTGGGAAAGCCCTCGGGGTCCACCAGCGGGCCCTTGAGTCCCGGCATTCCTGCAGCAGCAGCAGCAGCAGCAGCAGCAGCGCGGACACTGTGGAGGGCTGCTGAGTAAGGCAGCAGCAGCGGCAGCAGCGCGCGCGCAGCGACGCGCGCTGCTGGGTGCCGCACCAGCAGCAGCAGCAGCAGAGTGGAAACGCGAGGCGGGCTGCTTCGTGCTGCAGCAGCAGCAGCAGCAGCAGCAGCAGCATGCACCTTCTGCCGTGAGGAAGCTCGCAAGGGCCTCCATTTTCTCTTCGATTTGCTGCCGCTCGCGGTAGACCGCCTCGGCCTGCGCAGCCAAAGAGGAAGCGCCTGCGCTGGCCGCCATTTTGCGGCGAGGACGAAGACGACAGCCGCGGGGCGACTGGCTGCGGAATCTGGCCAAGTCCGCGGCTTTCGATGACGAAATGGAAGTTTTTAAGCTCTATAAAGCTGCATGCAGACCGAAAAAAGAGAGAAGGCCCGGAGAAAAGCTGGGAACCGGCGGAATCTGCACGCCAGAGAGCCCAGGCGGATGCCACTGCGGCCGCCGAGTAAACTGCAGCTCCGCCGCGCCACTCCAACGAGAAAAGGAACTTTCAGGACACTCGAAACTGAAAAATAGAACAAATAATTCGAGTTCTGCACTCTGGACACGACGGGAAGAAGCCCGGGAACATGCCGCGCCACGCTCTGGCTGCGGACTGCTGCTACTGCGCTTCGAGCCACAGACACTCGAACGCGCCTGTCCAGACACTGTAAAGAACACTTGATCTGCTGCTGCTCTGAATTCAGTTTTTAATTTTAGCAATTAAGTCAAACTAATAAAAGTGAATTTAAAGTCAGATGGGCACTTCGCCGCTGCGTTTCGCGCGCCGCCTCCGCGCGAAGTTGGAAGTCCACTGAACCGGGACAAGGCCGGTGTCTGTACAGCTGGAGACATCTGCAACAGTTGAATTCGCAATGCGAATCCCAAAAGAAAAGAAAGAACACTTTTAAAACAAATGAAGAACACTTTCAAAACAAATGATGCATCGGTGCAGAACTTGAGAGAGTCGTAACCACCGGTGATAGCTCAGTTGGTAGAGCGGCAGACTGTAGATGCTGCGGGTATCTGTTGGTCCCTGGTTCGATTCCGGGTCACCGGACTTCTTTTGCATTTAAAAGCATCTATCATAATTCATTTATAGTTACAAATTAATTTATAATTATAAATGAATTTACAAACCTCTGCATTTTATAAATTCATTTATGATTTCTGCTGCTGCACAGAATTCCGCCAACTTTGCTGCTTGCAGCCAGCAGTGCCAAACCCACTGGAAACCTCTCTCTTTTATTTGCATAATATTAATAACAATAATAATAATAATAATAATAATAATGCATAATAATAATAATGCATAATAATAAAGCATTAAAGCTCGGTCTTCGCAATGCAGTAAAGAGCAGCACTTCAAACAGCAGAAGCTGTAAACTACTTCGAAACTGTTTTATTTCGACTCTGGAAATAAATAAAAATGAATTCCAAATTTCCAACTCGACATTTCAGATTCGCCCACTGCCACTCAGGTGTCTCGACACCTGGCAACGCCCCTTTGCAGATGTTTTCGAGGGAACTTGCAAATATATTCATATTTATATTTATGTGTTTATATTTACATATTTATATTTATATATATCTCTCTATTTATATATTTAAATGTAAACTTGTATTTATTTTAAAGGGAAGCTGCTAAAAATATATTTGCAGTTCGAAGAAAGCCCTCGGGAGTTTCAGAAGAATAAATTAGAACAATAAGTCGAAAAGTTTGGAACTTTAACTTTTTCGTTTGAACAATTTGTCGAAAAGTTTGCAACTTCCACTTTTTCCGTCCGCAATCTCCGCTGCTGCTGCTGCTGCTGCTGCTGCTGCTGCTGTCAGTGTTGCTGCGCGTCTCGAGCAGCAGCAGCCCTGCGCGCTGGCGCTGGCAAACGCGAGAAGACTTTTTGCCACTTTGCAACTTTTCCAAAAGAAAGAAAGTTTCCACTAAGGCCAAACTCTGCAGCTGTTGGCTCCACTTCAGCAGCAGCAAGTTCGGCCTCGTGCTGCTCTCCACGCATGGAGCTGCTGCTGCAGCAGCAGCAGCAGCAGCAGGACTTCAGCTAAGAATGCACGTCTTCCTCGCAAGAAACCCTGCATGCAGCGCGCGCCCGCGTGCTGCTTCTCAGCAGCCCCATTGAAGGCCAGAAGGAATTTGCAAATTTGCAAATTTGACATTTGCAAATTTGAAATTTGGAATTTGCAAATTTGGAATTTGCAAATTTGAAATTTGGAATTTGCAAATTTGGAATTTGCAAATTTCAACTTTGGAATTTGGAGTTTGGAATCTGGAATTTGCAAATTTGCAAATTGGAATTTGCAAATTTCGTTTGGAATTTGGAATTTGCAAATTTGGAATTTGGAAAAAACGGCGGAGACGAAGCTGCTGCAGCGCTCACTCGTCGTCGGCCTCTTCGGCTGTCGGCGATCCATCTGCTGCCGTTTCTCCCTCGCGATCGTCTTGAGCTTTTTCTTCTTTCTTCATCAGCGCTGTTATCTTTTCGTTGACAGTTTGGATCTTCGCCAGGATTTCCGCCTTCCGCTCGTCGACCTGAGCGACCCCAGCCACCAGCACCCTAGCTAGCTAGCTGGCTAGCAGCAGGACATTCAGCTAGCTCTCCAGCTAGCTAGCTAGCTAGCTGGCTAGCTGGCTAGCTACGGCGCCGCGGCGCGGGGTTGCTGCGGGCAGCGGCGCAGCTGGAGATGCACCGGAACGGCCGGGCCGATCCGCAGTGGAATCAAGATCATTATTTACCTTTTGTGCACTTTCGTGCTGCAATTCTTTGAAGTTTTTCAGTTTTGCTTCCAGTTTTTCCAAACAAGTCGGAACTTCTTCCATCAGAACTGGCGCAGTCAGCTGCGCGCAGGAGCCGCGCATACACCCGGAGAGGTGCGCATACACCCGAAGCGCCGCGCAGCAGCACGGAGTTGAACTTCCGCAAATTTCGAACGAAACTGAATTAAACTGAACAGTTTTAAAAACAAAATAATCAAAGTGAAGTATTTGAACAATTCGAAACAATAGTGAGACTAGTTGTCCACTCACGCCGCACTGCTCGAAGTAAGCCAGAGTGCCCACGTCGTACTTGAGGGTCTTGGGCCTTTCCTTCTTCCGCTCCAAATCCTTCGGCTGTTTTCCCTTAGTCTTCGGCGCATAAAAGAAAACTTCTTTGCGCTGGCTCTTCGGCAGCAGGGCCCCCGCCAGCTGCAGCAAATAACTCAATCGTATTCAATAAATGCATGCGTTTTATTTCATTATAATGGAGCTATTTGAACTTAAATAACTCAACTGTATTCATTAAATGCATGCGTTTTATTTCATTATAATGAAGTTGTTTGAACTTAAATAACTCAATTGTGTTCAATGAATGCATGCATTTTACTTCATTATAATGGAGTTACTTGAACATAAATAACTCAATTGTGTTCAATAAATGCATGCATTTTACTTCATTATAATGGAGTTGTTTGAACTTGAATGCATGCAGTTGGTGTGATTGTAATGGAGTTGTTTTAGATTTAAAGGCATGCATTTAGTTTGGTTGTAATGGAATTCTTTTGAATTTAAATTTATGCATTTAGTTTGATTCGAATGGAGTTTTTTGAACTTAAATGCGTGCATTTTATTTCATTATAATGGAGTTATTTGAACTTAAATGCATGCAATTAATTTGATTACAATGGAGTTATTTGAACTTAAACACATGCATCTAATAACAATAAAAAAGGTAAAAACATAACATAAAAATTAAAAACTGAAAACAAAACAACCAATAAAAAGGACAATAAAAAAGAATAACAAAATAAAAACAAAACTAAAAGACAATAAAGGTTAACAAAGGACAATAAAAGCTAATAAATGACAATAAAGGCTAAAACAAGACTATAAAAGATAACAAAAGATAATAAAAGATACTAAAATAAAATAAAATAAAATAAAATAAAGTAAAATACACTAAAAAATAAAGAACACCTTCTCGTCCACGGGCTCCTCCGCAGGCCCTTTTTCGGTGCTGCTGCTCGCGGGCTCTTCGAGGATTTTTTGCAAAAATTGAATTGTTTGCGAAAGCAGCAAACACTCAGCTTCGAAAGGAAGTTCGGACTCGACTCTTTCGAGATCTCGGGAGAGTTGCATGCGTTCGTTCTCCAAGTTGCGGCGCTCGCGCTCCTCCCGCAGCTGCAGCAGCAGCAGTAGCAGCAGCAGCAAGTTGCACGCGCTGGGGCTGCAGCAAACCCGAGAAATGCTGCAGCAGCAAAATGCAAATGCATGCAGCACACCAACACTCACCTTCAGCCCGCGCTCCCGCTTTACTTGCTGCATGTACGCCTGGTGCTTCTGCATCTGCACGCGCATGCATGCGCAAAGCAGCAAAAGATGCAGCAGCAGCAGCAGCAGCAGCAGCAGCAGCAAACCCAGCCCCAAGCGGGAGCTGCAAACCGTAGGGTACCTCGCGGCTCAGCTCGGCCTGGATTTCTCGTCTCTGCGAAAAAAAAAGAAAAAATGGAAAAAAAAAATTTGCACTTTTGTCGAAACGTCTTCAAGTTCTCCAGCTGTACAGACACCGCAAGAAGCAGCAGCGAGCACTTTTGAAACTCACATTCACAAAATGTTTATTCATTTCTGCAGAAAGCCGTTCTCTCTCTTCAATCATTTCGCGCCCCGGGGCTGTGGCCTTTTGCCTGAAGGCAACGCAGCAGCAGCAGCAGCAGCAGCAGCAGCAGGACGCAGGCCGGTGGAACTGCAGCAGATGCGGGCTTTCTGGGGAGACCTCGCTGGGGAGAAGAAGAAAGCTTATTCTTTAGAAATTAACTGGCTAGAAGATGAAGCAGCAGTATTAATTTTAGCAATTTAAAATAACAAACATTTATGAAGTGAATTTGCATTCGAACTCGCCTTCTTTCCAAAAGCTCCTTGTACTTCTGGCTCTCCTCGCGCTTCTGCGTGCGGAGCTCCAGCAGCTTCGTGCGCACTTCGTCCAGCATTGCTCTCAGAGGCACTGCAGACGAAAACCAATTTAAATTCGGAAAACTTGAACAAAAAGGGAATTAAAAAGCAAATATATTTCGAATTTGCAGCCTGAAAGGACTCAACTGCACTGCTGCGCCGCGCACCCACGGAGGTGTCCTCCAGGCTGCTGGCGCTCTGCTCCAGCGCCTGGTACTTGGAAAGCAGCGGCTTGCTGCTCTTCAAACGTTTTATTTCTTCCAAAAACTGCTTTTCTTCTTTCAAAGAAAGAGTAGAAGTCATCATGTTGTGTTCGAGCGCCGCGATCTTCTGGTCGATGTCCTCCACGGACGCGAAGCCGATCTTGCGGCGCAGGTCCGTTGCGGATTGTTTCTGCAAAGGCGTTCGTTTGCAGCAAAAACGGATTCAAACTGCAACTAAATGCGTTTTAAATTGAATTAAACTTGAATTAAATGCAATTTCAACCGCTTTGAAGCAAAATTCAAGTGGTTTCCAACGGAAACATGCGCGCTGCTGCTGCGGAAACTCACCATTTCCGCGCCCTCCTTCTGCTTCGACTGGATCTTCTCGAACAAGACTTTGCGCTGCTCCTCGAGTTGGTCGATTTCTTTCTGAAAACAACAACTGCAAAAGTTTGAAATGTTTTAACTTCACTTTCTGCTGTTTTGAAAAACAAAAGGAACCAAAATAAACTCCACCTCCTCACCTGCAACGCGTCCAGACGAGCCTGCCTGTTTTGCTTCTCCATGTTGTACTCCTCCCGCCCGCCAATCACGGCGGAAATCTTTTGCTGCAGCTCATTCTGCACACAAAAGCATTTATTTGAAACACAAATTCATTTATTTTCCACGTAAAATCGTTTACTTTGCACAAAAAAACGTTTATTTTGCACACAAATCCATTTATTTGGCGCACAAATTCATTTATTTCGCACAAAAAACCGTTTCTTTTGCACACAAATTCATTTAATTGGTACACAAATCCATTTACTTGACACAAAAAAACGTTCATTCTGCATACAAATTCATTTACTTTGCACACATATTCATTTGTCTTGCACAAAAATTCACTTATTTTGCACACAAATTCACTTGTTCAGAGCACAAATTCATTTGTTCCGCACACAAATTCACTTATTCTGCACAAAAAAGCGATTATTTTGCACAGAGATTCATTTATTCCGCTCGCAAATTCATCTAGATTGCACAGATTCATTTATTTGGCACACAAATTCATTTATTCGGCACACATTCACTTTGCACATAAAATCGACTATTTTGCACAAAAATGCATTTATTTTGCACACAAATTAGATTCATTTGGCACAAAAATTCACTTATTTCGGACACAAATTCTCTTATTTTGCACAAAAATTCATTTACTTTGCAAAAAAAAACGATTACTTTGCACCAAAATTCATTTATTTCGCACACAAATTCATTTATTTTGCGCATAAATTCACTTAATTTGAACACAAATTCATGTTTTGCAGGAGAAATCGTCTGTTTTGCACACAAATTCATTTATATTGCACAAAAATTCATTTATTTGGGGCACAAATTCATTTACTTCGCACACAAATTCATTTATTTTACACGAAAAAGCGTTTATTTTGCACACAAATCCATTTATTTCGCACACAAATTCATTTATTTGGCACAAAAGTTCATTTGTTTTGCACACAAATTCATTTATTTTGCACGCAAATTCATTTACTTTGCACATAAATTCATTTATTTTGCACACAAATTCATATATTTTGCACACGAATTCACTTAATTTGAACACATAAAATCGTTTATTTTGCACATAAATTCATTTATTTTGCACACGAATTCATTTACTTTGCACATAAAATCGTTTATTTTGCCCATAAATCCATTTATTTTGCATATAAAGTCGTTCATTTTGTACACGATTATTTTGCGCAAAAGAAACCGTTTATTTTGCACACAAATTCATTTATTTTGCGCAAAAATTCATTTATTTGGGACACAAATTCACACGAATTCATTTATTTTGCACACAAATTCATCTATTTTGCACACAAATTCATTTATTCTGCACATAAAATCGATTATTCTGCACACAAATTCATTTATTTGGCACACAAATTCATTTATTCTGCACACAACTTCATTTATCGCGGACAAATATTGGTTTATTTTGCACACAAATTAATATGGACAAATATTGATTTACTTTGCGCACAAATTCATTTATCTTGGACAAACATTCATTTATTTTGCACACAATTCGCTCATTATGCACACAGATTCACTCATTATGCACACAAATTCATTTATTATGCACACAAATTCAATCATTCTGCACACAAATTCACTCTGCACACAGTTCAATCGATCTGCACACAATTCAATCAAAATGCACACAATTCAATTAATCTGCACACAAATTCGCTTATTCTGCACACAGATTGCACCACTCTGCACACAGATCCACCCATTCTGCACATAAATTCACCCATTTTGCACGGATATTCACTCATTTTTCACATAAAATCGCCCATTCCGCCCATTCTGCACATAAATCCACCCATTTTCCACATAAATTCGCTCATTCTGCACATAAATTCGTCCATTCCGCGCGAAAAGTTGCTCATTCTGCGCAAAAATTTGCCCATTCTGTACACGATTTCATTTATTCTGCACACCATTTCACTCATTCTGCACACAAACTCAACCATCCTGCACATGAATTCACTCATTCTGCACACGAATTCGCTCATTTTGCACACAAATACACTCATCCTGCACACAAATTCACTCATTATGCAGACGATTCGACCATTCTGCACACAAATTTCCTCATTCTGCACACAAATTTCCTCATTCTGCAGACAAATTTACTCATTCTGCACACGAATTCACTCATTCTGCACACAAATCCACTCATTCTGCACGAAGACTCGCAACTGGGATAACAGCGCAGCCCCCAGCGCTGCAGTACGTGGCGCTCTGGCCGCTGCAGCGCGGAAAATTGAACGAATTCGCACAGCAGCGAATAGGCAACTCAAGAAACAATTGAGAACCCCCCAAAAGCGGGACACTGCGGCCACCTCGGGGGCCAGAAGGTGGATGCGCGCTGCAGCAAAGCGGCTTGCGGAGCAGCAGCAATCCGGCGCAGCAGCGGGCCGCAGGCGCAGCTGCTGCGAAGTTAGCAGCTGGTGCTGCAGCTGCAGCAGCAGCAGGAGCAGCGTCTGCGCTGCTGCGCGCTGCGGGCAGGCGTCCCGGGGGGAATCTGGGGCTGCTGGAGGCCAAATGGAGTTAAAAAGAAGCAAAAATGCGGAGCTGCGCGCGGAGAGGGGCAAAAAGAGGTGCCGACGTACGATTTTGGCGCGCAACTCGTCAATGGCGGCCGTCTCAGCCTGAATGCGATCCCGGTAGAGCTTCTCGTCCGGCTTCGGCACAGGCTCCAGCTTCTTCGACTTGTCCACTTTGCCGGCCATTTTGTCGCGGGCGGGGCTCTGGGGGCCTCGGAAGGTCTCGGGGAAAAGTTGAACGAGAGGTCGGCGAGTGCGGGGGAAAGCGGAAACAACTCCCGTTTCCGCACACCAGACACGAGCGCGCGCCCAAGAGGTCCAGTTTGCTGTTGCAAAAAATAACAAGAGATATTTCTAAGAGTTGCTCTCTTCGAAATCCGAGACAGGCAACTCGGAGAGCCGCATTCAGGGGAGGGGTTGCTCGCAGCCCCCGACGCTCACCGCGTACATTGCCGCCAGCCCTTTTGCAAATTCGCGCTTTCTTCTTTTCTTCTTTTTCCCTTTCCAAGTTCCTTTTGCTTTTCCGCTTTCTTTCCGGGCTTCGTGGCTGCTGCTGCGCGGCGCGGCGGCCGTTGCTGCGCTGGCTTTCGCGCCGCCACCAACGCGCCCACGGAATCTGTGCAGACCAGCTGCTACTTGCCGCTTTATTTCCCGAGTTCTTCACTTCTTCGACAATTCCCGTTCTCCATTTCTTTCTTTTTTCATTGCAGCGGCGGGTTTTCCCGCAGCGCCGCCCGCAGCACTCGGAAACGCGTGCAGCAGCAGCTGTTGCTGCTGCTGGAGTCGCCAGCGCAGCAGCGCCACACCACAAGATATCTAAACAACTCCCAGCAGCCTCTTGAGCATTCAATTCAAAACTATTCCCCTTTTTAGGGTTTTGTTGCGGCTCTGCTGCTGCTGCTGGGCCCGCAACGGCGGGCGAAGCAGCCCGCAGCGCCGTTTGCTGCAGCGCTGCAGCAGCTAAAAGCCGCAAACACTAACAAATGCCTTGCAATTAAGACAAACAGTAAAGCAAAAGGAGTGCCTTTGCATGTAAATGCACGTATCCACGTCGAGCTGCTGCGCATTCGCGAACTTTGCTGCTGCTGCCGTGCTGCTGGGGCCCCACAGAACGCCACTTCTGCTCTCCAAGTTGCTACGCTGCAGCAAAACTGCAGCTGCTCTTCTGCTGCGCAAAAGCAGCAGCAGCAGCAAGCTGCTTCGGGGCAGAACTGTTTAGACAAACTGCTGCAGCGCCAGCCACAAATAGTTTTTATTTCAAGTAGAATTAAAATATATTTTCAAACTTTTATCCACAAACAAATGCTGCTTGACTCCTGAGGGAAGGAAAATGTTAGAAGACAATTCCCAGCTCCACTGTGGCACACAGACGGCGGCGCTGCTGCTGCTGCTGCTGCTGTTGCTGTTGCTGCTGCTGCTGCTGCGTAGAGCCAGTACGCAGCAGCAGAGAGATGAAGGGCACAAGCGGCAAAAAGAGAGTTTGCTGCAGCAGCAAGAAGCCTCTGTCTCAGCAGCAAAAGGCGAAACTTCAAAAGAAACTTCAAAAGAATAAAAGTGTTTTAAAATAAAATGCAACAGAAAAGCTGCAGCATTTATTATTTCTCTTGGGACTTGCTGCTGAATTAAAAGAATAAAAGCTCTGTCTTCAGCAGCAGCAAAAGCCCACCAGGCCACCAGCTGCGCAGCAGCAGCAGCAGCAGCGTATGCTCACCAGAGAAGCAGCGGCTAGCTGCAGCGGCAGCAGCAGCAGCAACAGCAAAGCAATTGCTGCATGCGTAGTTGGCGAAGCAGCAGCAACCTGTTGCTGCCTGCTTTTCTAGTTTTTGCAAGCAGCAAGTTGCTGCTGCCGCTGCAGCGAGTGCTAGCAGCTTGCTGCTCTGCTGCTCTGTTGCTGCAGCCCGCTGCTGCTCTGCTGCTACGGCCCGCTGCAGCAGCAGCAGCAGCAGCAGCGCAGAGAACAGCGAAGGGGATTTTTTTTGTAGATTTCAAATCTAACTGGAAGCAGTTTTAACATGAGTGAAGTTTGCTGCATGCAGCTTTTCAGGGAAGTTTGCTGCTGCTGCTGTTTATTTGATTTGCTGCAAGACACGCTGCAGCAAAAGCCTCCTCCTCCTCCGCAGCAGCAGCTGCTGCTGCAGCCTACGCGGCCCAGACGCAGCAGCAAGCGCACGTTGCTGCTCCTAGTGGCCATCCCTAGGGCCCTGGTGCAGCTGCAGCAGCAGCAGCAAATCTTAGCAGCAACAAATGGCAGCAGCAGCAAATATTAACCTCGGTGAACCGCTGCAGCAGCAAATCTTGACCACAGCAGCGGCGAATCTTAAGAGCAATGAGCAGCAGCAGCAGCAAATCTTAGCCGCAATGGATCGCAGCAGCAACAAATAAACCACAGAGGGTCGCAGCAGCAGCGAAGCTTAACTGCAGCGAACCGCAGCAGCAGCAAAACCAGCAGGAAGCTGCGTTGCTGCTGCTGCTGCTGCTGCAGTGCCTCTAGAAGGCACTTCAGCTGCATGCAGGGGCCAAAAGTGCAGATTTGCTGCAGCCCACTGCAGCACGATTCAAGTGCAGCATTAAGCATTTCCCCACAGGCAATGCAGCAGCAGCAGAGCAACAGCAGCAGCAGCAGCAAAGCACCCGCCCCTAGGAGCTGCTATGCAATTGCTGCTGCCTAGTTGCTGCGGATCCTGCTGCAGCAGCTACGACCTCAAGCAGCAGCAGCACGATGAAGGCCTTTTAAAAACTACTACTGAATGTTTAATTTTTTAAATTAAATTTTAAATTATTATTTTATTTTTTACTAATAGCTATTTTCAAGGTCTTTGCTGCAGCTCGGAACTCAAACTCAAATTTTCAAATTCCATTTGCATGCAACATTGTTGCAACTTCAATGCTGCTGCATCATTTCACCTTTAAAGTCCTCATATTCTGCAACTAATTTATTACTTTTTGAATATATTTAAAATAATAATCATTTTTGAAATGTTTTTATCATTAGAATATTCTTTTTTGGATTTTGAACAATTCCATTTGCTGCTGATTCAAATGGCCAGCGCAGACCTTCGCTGCTTTCTTGCATGCTCAAGTGCTGCCTTTTCCACAATTCTTTCTATACTGGATGCACCAAATGAATTATAAAAATATATTTAAAATAATACTTACGAAATTATTCACGTTTTATTCATGTTTACATGTAGTTCTGGTGTCCGTACACCGCACAGCCCTAACATTTTTGCTGCAGCCTCCATAAATGCAAAATGTCAATTTCTCTCTTTTGCACTTACAAGCCGCTCATAAATTCATATTTTTAATTTTATAAATACATTTTATTTTATTTTGGATGTATGTGTTCGTTTTTTGCACTTTTATATTCTCTTTCCAAGTATATACTTTGCACTTCCATACCACCCAGTGCATGCGCTCATAGTAAACATGCATGAAATGTCCCCTTGCATGCACTTCTTGAATTATTCAAAAGCTTTTGCATGCACATTTGTTTTGAATCGTCTCACAACTACGCATGCACTCAGAATGCATGCAAAATCAAAGAACAAAACGAAACAAACAACAAAACAGGTTCTCCTTGCCTTCCTGCTGCTGCTGCTGCTGCTGCTGCTCTGCTGCTGCTCTGCTGCTGCTAGATAAGCTCTCTTTGGAGGCTGGCGCGGCCTTTTCGGCTGCGGCTGAAGCGATACTGAGATTCTGCTGCTGCTGCTGCCGCTGCTGTTGCTGCTGCTGCTGCTGCTCGCTGTTGAACACCTCCAATGCAAGAAGACACCAGCTTTTCCTGCTGCAGCCATTCCCACGCCTAATCTAATCTCTATTCATTTAAAATAGAGTATTTATATTTATTTTTAATTAATTTATTTCTTCTTTTTCAGTTTGTTTATTTCCCCCTGAGGATTCCTTTTCTGTTTTCAGATGAAGAGGTTTTGGCACTTCCTCTTTAAGCTGCAGCAGCGCAGCAAGACTCAAAAAGCCCCAAAGGGAAAACAGCAAAACCATGCATGCATGCATGCATGCATACAGCCTGCATGCATTAGTTTTTCAACAACACTTGACTTTTTGAACTAGTCCGGGACGTTATTTCTAACGCACATTAACATGCCTTCAAAACGAGAGCTGCATGCACGCATGCGTGCACATGCATGCACACACGCATGCGTGCATGCATGCATGCATGCACGCATGCATGCATGCATGCATGCATGCATGCACGCATGCATGCATGCATGCATCCACATGCATGCATGAATCCACATGCATGCATGCATTCGCCTTCGTTTTACCTTGGCGTCATGTCTCCAGCAACATCGCAGATAATATAACTTTGTATGCATGCATTATTGCAGTTGTAATTATCACTGCATGCGCGCGTGCATGCATGCATGCAAAGCCCCAACTTGGCAGTGTTACACCCGGCTGTTTGGCGTTCGGCAGACCTAGATGGGAAGAAAAGAAAGAATAAATAAATAATAAATGAATAAATGAATAAATAAATATATATACAACACAAATATATATAAATATTTATTTTTGGGAGACTTTCAGCGCGCATGCATGCAAGCCCCAAGCTGCATACTGCCACGTGCATGCAAAAGAGCTACTTGAGCATTTGCTGCCTATTAAAAAGGCAGAAATGCACTAAAAATGTCTTTGAGATTAATAAGAATTAAATGCATGCAGAAAGGCTCTAAAGTGCAGCTTTTTGCGGACTTTCTGCTGCAGCAAATGCAAAAACAAGAAAAGTCTTTATTTCCGTTTTGAACATTTTAATTCGAATTCCAAGAAATGGCTGCATGCAAAATAACACTTTAATTTGCATTCACAGAAATGGCTGCATGCAAGTGAACTGCTGGCATAAACGGCATTAAATAAATATGCAACTCTGTACACAACAAACACTATAAACAAGAACAAGTGTGGCCATAAATACAAACAAAAAAGTACAAATAAACATAAATAATAAAATAATATAAATAATATAATAAATACAATAAATACGAATGAATATAAATATAAATGCAAATGGAAGTGCACATCCAGGGCATTTATATTCATATTTCGCTGCATGCAAAATACAGATCCAAAAAGAGAAAACTCCTCTTTTAAATTCTGCTGCAGCCCCAAACGCATGCACGCGGTGTACAGACGCAAAAACAAAGAGATGCGAAGCTTTCTGCTGCTGCTGCTGCAGCTCTTGCATGCATTTGCATGCATGCATGCAAATGCATGCAAATGCATGCGGATGCATGCAAATGCATGCATGCAAGACAAATGGATTTCGGCAGCTTTCTTAAGATTTGCCTCAGCAGCAGCAAACAGCATTTCGGAAACAAAAGAAGAAATGAAAAAAGAAAATGCGAAAGATCAGGAACGGCTGCACTCTCGGGTGTACGTACACCTCAGCTCCACAATCACGAATAAATAACCCGCAATCCACTTATAAATGCCAATTATTCATTCTTTTATTTATTCTTTTCTCCGATCTATTTCATTTCAACTCATTAGAAGCATCGGCTCCACAGCAGGCACTAGGCTGCGGTTTACAGACACAGCTTCCGCAGCAGCTGCTCTCTTGCTGCTGCTGCTGCTGCTGCTGCTGCAGCTGCTTTTCCGATGCATGCACTGCATTATTATTGTCACTGAGCTTCACGCGGCTTCGCGAGCAGCATCTTCTGCAGCAGCAGCAGCAGCAGGTGGCTCCTCGACAGCAGCGCCAGCAGCTGGCTTTAAGGCAGCAGCAGCAGCACCAGCCTGCGCTGCAGCAGCAGCAGCAGCAGCATCTGCACTCTCAGCTGCTTCTGCTGCAGTCCCCTGCAGCGCCTGGTAAGGCGGGCTGCGGCGCGACAGCCAGCAGCAGCAGCCCCGCCTTTTGATGGACAGTGCAACTGACAGCAGCAGCAGCAAACCTGAGCAGCAGCAAACAAACAGCAGCAGCAGCAAAAGGGTTTATATTTCACTGAGAACTGCTGCCACACACAAAACACATTTGCTTCCAACTGCGCACTTGCCCATACAGACACCCAAAACAGCAGCAGCAGCAACAGCTGCTGCTGCTGCTGCTGCTGCAGCAACGGCACCAGCAACAAACAGCAAATGCAGACAGACGCAGCGCAGCAGCCAGCAGCAGCAGCAGCAGCTGCTGCTGCAGCAGCTGGGTGTGAATAAACTTGCCTAGCATGACAATTAGACACAAGACAACATAATATGGAACTGGTTCGTTGCCTGCTGCTGCTGTCCATACACCCCAGACCGAAGTGTGGGGTCCCTGGGGATCGGCCGATCCCAAGGCGATCCCAGAGCTGCTGCTGCTGCTGCTGCCTTTAATGCCTGTGGCCCGTCGCACAGCTGCAGCAATTTGGTGGGGGGTGAGCTCCTGCCGCTGCTGCTGCTGCTGCTGCTGCTCGTGCTGCTGCTGCAGCTGCTGCAGCACGCGCACGCGCTGCTCGGGGGACTCTGCATACACTGCAAACGACGGACTCGTGCCCCCCGCTGCTGCTGCTGCTGCTGCTGCTACTGCAGCGGCTGTTTCTGCTGCTGTGAGAATGCGCGCGCCCAGAAGCTCTTCATCCTCTCCGATGCTGCTGCTGCTGCTGCTGCTGCTGCTTCTCTCGGGCGGGAGCAGCGAAGCAGAAATCACCGTCCCTGTTCAGCAGCAGCAAAAACACAAGCTGTGCATATCATGCAGCGCCAGCAGCAGCAACACTAGCATCTGCAGCAGCAGTAGCACAAACTGCAGCAGGAGCAGCGTCAACTGCAACGGCAGCAGCATCAACCACAGCAGCAGCAGTGTTCACGCCTGCAACAGTAGCAGCGGGATTAACAAATGCAGCAGCAGCAACAGTAGGGACAGCAGCACTAACAACTGCAGCTGCTACACAAGCAATGTTGGCAAGTACAGCAGCAGCAGCAGCAAGCAGCAGCACCATCGGCAGCAGCAAACGAGATCAGCAGCAGCTACTGCACAAAAAACGCCTCCAGCAGCAAAAGCAACGACAGCTACAGCACCAACAGCCACAGCAGCATCAGCGGAAGCAACAACAGCCAGCAGCAGCAGCAGCAGCAACAGCAGC